GTGAATTACGAAGTTAGGAGCATCACTATATGGGGCAGCTTCTTTGCAAACAGGACTGGGGTTTTACGTCATCAAAGGAAACATTAATAGAGCGATGTACCAGGACACATTACAGGAGAACTGAATCTCATCACGAAGCAGAATCTAGGGAGAAAATGGACATTTCAACATGACAATGACCCCAAACATACAAAAAAAAAAAACTTTTGACTGGCTTCTTAAAACAGAGGGTGAAACCTGATTGGCTTGAATGGCCTTGCCCAGTGATTCCCAACCTGATGCTCAGGGCCCCTACATGGTCCACATTTTTCCTTTGTCTGTATGGTTTCGGAGTTGGGTTGGAGCAAAAATGTGGACTGTCTGGAGGGCCCTGAGGACCAAGCCCCCAATTTAAATACCACAAAAGATTTTAGGACGTATTTTGAAATGGTGACTCTGTCAGAGGGGCCCTTATAGCCTTGGGGATTGTCTGCTATGAGAAACAGTAAACCACAATGTTACAAAAGTCTAAATACCTCTTACCGTAGACATCTCAAAGCTGTAATTGCCAACAATGGCCTTACAACAAAGTCCTAATTTTATCTAATTTTATTAATTTGTGCTAAGAAGTAAAAACACATTATATGCGGAAATTTAAAGCAGGTAAATGCACTGGAAATACAATAAAAAAAACAAAAACAAAAGCATCTGAAGACTTTCCCCTCACTGTATGGATCAGTGGCTACACCCATTTCCATGGTCACCTTACAGCCAATTCCATAATTACACTAGTAATGAGTTCTGAGAAGATGCGCACCATTACTGGCGGAATGTTAACATTAAGATGAAGCAAAGAAAATTGTTTGATATATTCAAAATCATAAGGCAGATTGATAAACCACTTAAAAAGAGGATAATCCGGCCTACTAGCACCTGCTTAAAAAACATTACAGCTTTTGCTATTCATTAAGATACCAGATAAACAGTGAGATGCATTGACTTAGTTTGCTAATGTTAATGTAAATATTAGCCGTTTCCAAACAGAATTAGATTTGTTTCGCTCCAGTGGTAAGATAAAGATAGCTAACTAGCATCCTTGCTAAGAAGTACAGCTATACTCCAGGGCCTAAAGCACTGGTGCCCATAGCTGATGTCTTTATTGGCCTCTTTTACTGTTACTGACACTATTTTGCACCCATGACTCAGTGGCAGCTGCAGTAACTTAATTAAATGCTTATAATACTATAAGGCTACATAAGCACACTAACTGGACTCAGAAAAAGCAACAGTGAGTAAGCAAATTACTCAGCTAATTCCTTTCCTCACTCCACTTTTTTGCACTCAGGCCCATAAGATACTAGATGCGTCATTTCGGCCACAGCGTTTGAGTGCTGAGTGGACGCTGCTCTTATGCACTCTCAAGATACTCTGGGTTGAGATCAGCAGGTCTCACTGTCTCCCAAGACAAGCCGTCCAGGCCATAATCCCAGGATTATGAAAAAAAGCCTTTAATGTTTCCAGTGAATGTACAGACTCAAACTGTGCTTACAGTGTTCTATTGACCGTCAGGAAGTCCAGACAGGTGAGGGTCAGTGTCTAAGGGTAAAGAATGAGTGGACTGAACTGAAACGCTAATTGTGCTATGGAGTGAGATACATAAGCACAGTGTACACTCATGAGGCTATTAAACTCAAACTAAAGAACATAATCAGCAAAAGGAAAGGCTACTCATCAAACATTAAACGTGCTTGGATTTTATGGTCTATTACAGTAAGAGGTCGTTCTATATCTATTGAATCATTACATGAGTCACTGACTATGATTGAATACTGTGGCACACTTCCTGCTGTGGCATATCCCATGTAGAATTTGTAATAACTGAAAAACAAACAGATCGATAGCGTCATTGTGGAACTTTCAACAACAAATTCGTGTTGCTGTGCTTTGGTATGGGTGTACATACAGATACAGTCCATATAGAGATACATGCACATACACCGATCAGGCATATCATTATGACCACCTCCTTGTTTCTATGCTCATTGTCCATTTTATCAGCTCCACTTACTCTATAGGAGCACTTTGTAGTTCTACAGTTACAGACTGTAGTCCATCTGTTTCTCTGATACTTTGTTAGCCCCCTTTTACCCTGTTCTTCAGTGGTCAGGACCCCCATGGACCCTCACAGAGCAGGTACTATTTGGGTGGTGGATCATTCTCAGCACTGCAGTAACACTGATGTGGTGGTGGTGTGTTAGTGTGTGTTGTGCTGGTACGAGTGGATCAGATACAGCAGTGCTGCTGGCGTTTTTAAACACTGTGTCCACTCACTGTCCACTCTATTAGACACTCCTACCTTGTCAGTCCACCTTGTAGATGTAAAGTCAGAGACGATAGCTCATCTGCTGCTTCACAGTTTGCGTTGGTCATCCTCTAGTCCTTCATCAGCGGTCACAGGACGCCGCCCACAGGACGCTGTTGGCTGGATATTTTTGGTTGGTGGACTGTTCTCAGTCTAGCAGTGACACTGAGGTGTTTAAAGCTCCAGCAGCACTGCTGTGTCTGATCCACTCAGACCAGCGCAACACACACTAATTGTAGAACTACAAAGTGCACCTATATAGTATGTGGAGCTGATAAAATGGACAGTGAGCGTAGAAACAACGAGGTGGTCATAATGTTATGCCTGATTGGTGTATACAAAACAATCATATGCAATAATTTGGGTGACCCTGAAAAAAGCACTTAAAGCTTTCATCTCTGAGAGAGAGGAGTAAATCAAGCTGCTTCAGATCTGAAAACATCCACAGGTGTTTCTGTCCATCCTTCCACTGTGAGAAGACGACTCAGCGCTGTGGGTCTGAAAGGATGTGTAGCTGTGAAGAAGAACCTCACTGAGAAAAGGAGACGGACAGATCAAACAAAGAAGCTAAACGATGGACTGACCACCCCAGAGTCCAGACCTCAACATCACTGAATGAGTTTGGATTATTCGGATTGTGAGAATCAGAAAATACAACCAACTTCTAAGGCTGAACTTTGGAGGAGTAAAAAATATCCCTATATATATATATAATTACCTCAGCTGTGGTTCAAAAGACCAGATAAGCCCAGAAGCCTTCTGGTGCATGGCAAGGGAGATTTGAAGGGCTATCTTTTCTTTGGGGTTGACAAGCGGAGGAGCTTCATTGTGTGTGTATGTGTGTGTGCGTGTGTTTATGCTCGAAAGGATCCAGCACTATTTATAAAGTAATGCATGGAGGGATGTCACGGAAAGCACCTTTTTACTACGGGTAAATAAGCTCTCTCAGCCGAGGAGGCCTGACTTGAACCCTTTCTCTTTCTCTCTTTCTTTCTCTCTCTCTCTCTCTCTCTCTCTCTTTCTCTCTCTCTCTCTCTCTCTCCTGCTCTAAGCCCCCTCTCTCGCTCTCTCTCCTTCTCTACAGCAGTAGTTTGGACTGCAGTGCGTTTATTTTCTTTGTTGTAGGTCAATGTCCACATTTCTTATTTCTAAGTAAGTTTAAAATGTAGAAACTTGGAAACTCTAGTGTTATAATTGTAAAAGACAGCTATTGTCACCACAGTGTGTGGAGTTTTAAATAATAATAACTAATGATAAATGTCATTCGATTGCAAACTACTATTAGACTAATTGGGTACTCTTCATTTCTTTTTTCTTTGCCTTAGAAGGTGAGAGTTGCCTTATAAAAATGAAATCTTAAAAAATAAAATCTCACTTTCAGTGTTACTGTATGACAGTGTTACAGTATCTTTCAGTGTTACTGTATGACAGTGTTACAGTATCTCACTTTTACTGTTACTGTATGACAGTGTTACAGTATCTGTCTTTCACTGTTACTGTATGACAGTGTTACGGTATCTCTCGGTGTTACTGTATGACAATGTTACATTATCTCACTTTCACTGTTACTGTATGACAGTGTTACAGTATCTCTCGGTGTTACTGTATGACAGTGTTACATTATCTCACTTTCACTGTTACTGTATGACAGTGTTACAGTATCTCTCTTTCAGTGTTACTGTATGACAGTGTTACAGTATCTCTCGGTGTTACTGTATGACAGTGTTACATTATCTCTCTTTCAGTGTTACTGTATGACAGTGTTAGTGTACCTCACTTTTACTGTTACTGTATGACAGTGTTACAGTATCTCACTTTCACTGTTACTGTATGACAGTCTTACTGTATCTCACTTACAGTTTTAATGAATGACAGTCTTTACCTTAATCTCAGGTTTAGTGTTACTTACAGTACTAGTCCAAAAATCTGAGACCACAAAGCAAATCATTAAACATTTGTCAAAACAACCAAAAATTGCAACCATAATACGCAAATATAAATAAGTACTTCTCTCATGATGTGAAACAGACAGTTCAAACATGTTCAGTGTCCAGTTAGTTTTGCATTAGATGAGTGTATAATTTGTTACCTAGCTAGCTCAAGAAGAATGGCTTACATTTGCAGGCTAGTTAGCTATGCATCAGTCATTACCTTCTTCTTGAGTCACATTGCTATCTTGCTCAGTTATGAGCTCACCAACTGAAATGTTCAACAATAAACACATAAACTGTCAAAAAAACACAAATTCACTGAGTAGACAAGATATCCAAACTAAAGCCATCAAGGTTTGAGGGAATTAGAAAGCGAACCACAACTTTCACTACCGATTGTGAAGTTTCGTGCCTGCTTTCATGTTCCAAACACACAGCATACTGACAGTCTTTTTCCATGGGGACTGTGTGGGCGGACCCTGCTGTAGCATGACTTTGCATTGGCTGAATGGGCTGTTGGCTGGACTTGAGGTGCGCTCAACAGACACTTCACTGTAGAACATGGTTAAAAACTATATGCAGTCTCCCAATCAAATATCTTCCTAGATTTTTTCTTATCTGAAATACAACAGCAATCAACCCCACCCTTTATTTCCAGAATGGGGTTCGGGTTTCCACTCCTAACTATCCTGCATCTGTACTCTGTTGCTACTGCAGCTTTGGCTCACCTTGTTCCTGCGGAAGTGATAAACCAGCACCATGCTGATGAAGTCCAGCAGCATGCAGATGCCCTGGAAGGACAGCACTGTGATGCTCAGATAGCTGTCGCCGTGAGCAACACAGGGTGTGTCATCTTTGCAGAAAGCACAGCCCTCCTGGCAAGGCAGACAGTGGCTGGGGGCATCCGCATCATATGGAAGACCCTCAAGGTCCTGCGAGTTCCCAGCCTTCCCTGTGTGAAGAGCAAAAAGGTTTTGTCACAAAAAAAAAGAGAGAAATCTCAGATTGTTCCATATGATTCACTAAACAGAAGCAATTTAGTTTAATGACTCATATGTCTGACTCAGTTTTGCAGACATTTTGACATTTACATATTGAATCCTTGGGTTCTTAACAGTCCTGCCAAACAGTAATGGGGTCAAACTTGGTTTGCGTTAATTATGCACCATTACAAAACAGTAGGGTGGGACCTACTTGGCTGAGATTAAGGTTCTATGGGTCTATCGGCATTGGCAGAGATCCCAGCAATAAAGCACTAATAATGTCTTCAAATGTTGCATGAAAAAACACATTTAAAATGTGATGCTATTTTGAACAATCAAACATAATGGTGGGAGCTCATAACTCTTTGTGAACACAGGGCCTTCCATGACCACTGCATGCATCAGGACAGCAGCTGTTTGGGTGTTGGGTTTAGCCTCATAATTTTAATACAGTGTCACACAATCACTTTAATGTTTTACATTTACATGTATTCCTTCAGCAAATGCTACTATCCAGTGTGACTTACAAAATGAGCGAACAGTGACTTCAGGAACTTATGGCCTTAAAATAATACCACCATCATAAATTGACCTAGTTCAATAAATACATAAATAAATAAATGTGCAGGCCCTGAGGATAAATTACATAAAGCCATTTGTGTACATACACTATTAATCAAGAGTTCGCATCTTTTGTAATAGTGAAGACATTTTGATTTAATTACTGATGCTTAAATGCTAATGGAATTTGTTTCTAAGACATATAAAACAGTGATTGACGCCTAAGAGAGAAATTCCTTCAGAGATAACAAGGAAAATTAAACTGTATTAGGTCAAATTGTTATCGTTCATTTGTGGCCACGACCTAGTAAGCTGTGGGAGCGAGACTGTTTAGTTGTTATAGTTTATTTGTGGCTGTAACTTAGTAAGTTGTGGCAATGAGATAATTAAATTGTCATAGTTCATTTGTGGCCACAACTTAGTGGGTTTTGCAAACAATATAGTCCAATTGTTTCAGTTAATTTGAAACAATTAGAGCTAGGTAAGGCATGGGGACAGGATAGTTGTTATACTTCATTTGTGGTCATAACTTAGTAAGGCACGGAAACAAAATAGGTAAGTTGTTATAGTTAATTCATGATCATGCCTTAGTAAGACATGAGAACAAGAAAGTTATTATAGTTAATTTGTGGCCATAACTTAGTAAGTCATGGAAACAAGGTAGTTAAGTTGTTAAGTTGTGACAGTTAATTTGTACCCATAAAATAGTAAAGTGTGAGTTCAAGATGGTTTAATTATAGTCCATTTGTGGCCATAATATAATAACGTGTGGGGACAAGGCAGTCCAGTCGTTATAGTTAATTTGTGGCCATGACTAGATTAGGCATGGGAACGAGATAGTTGTTATAGTTAATTTGTGGCCATAAATTAGTAAAGCATGGGAACAAGAAATTTAAGTTGTAATAGTTAATAAGTGGCCATAACTTAGTAAGACATAGGAACAAGATAGTTAAGTTGTTATAGTTAATTTGTGGCCATAACATAGTAAAGTGTGGGAACAACATAATTTATTATTATAGTTAATTCATGGCCACAACTTAGTATGGCATGGAAATGAGATGGTTGTTATAGTTAATTTGTAGCCATAACTTAGTAACGTAGGGGAACAAGATAGTTAAGTGGTTATAGTTAATTTGTGGCCATAACTTAGTAAGGCACAGGAGCAAGTTAGTTAAGCTGTTATGTTGTTACAGTTAATCTGTGGCCTAACATAGTAAGGTATGGGAACAAGATAGTTGATATTATCGTTAAGTCATGGCCACCACTTAGTATGGCATGGAAATGAGTTGCTATAGTTAATTTATGGCCATAATTAATAATAATAAATAATTAAGATATGCTCATGCCTTACTAAATCATGCATTAGGATTCTATTACCACGCTTTAGTAAGATGTGGCCACACATTATTTTTATTAAGAATGTTGTCACCAGCAGGGCTCCATGCATACGTGTTATTTCACTGTTTTGATTTCTTCACTGTTATTCTAAAATGTGGAAAATAGTAAAAGTAAGGAAAGTTTTGATTGGTAATGTAAGTAAACACTACCAATAAATACAGATATTAAATGCAGAGAAATGATGAAGAAAAATGAAACAATAATTAAGAAGTGAAAAGCGCTGAACAATGTTATACAATATCAGTCACTTTGATAACATTGGTCAGTAAAGCACAGGTTATTTTTGTACCGGTCAGGCCCTGTTAATCAGAGATTGAATGTGCTCCCAGTTCTCTGGACGTGTCCTGTGCTGTATGACTGGCTGGCCGGCCGCACTGTTTGATGTGCTGGCCTCGGTGAGGGGGTGTGGACGCACCATCTGTGCTCACACTTTGATGCAGCAGTGGCTTCCGCATCACGCCCACAGTCTACATGTTCTCACCTCATCCCTATCTACATTCACACCTTTCATTTCCAGGTCATCCAACTGGTCTGATTGAGGGGATGAAAGCAATGTATCTAAAAATGTGTGAATGAAACCTGTGAAAGCATTTTTTTAATGCATCGGTTTTCCTACACTGGCTGCATCGCTGAGATTTACGGTTATCTTTTAGGTCAAGTACAGATGAAATCCATCTCCTTCAAGTAGAGAATCCACTTCAATGCAATACAAAGCAGTTAGAGTCAATCATTTTCAAATGCAGATACACTACATGTCCAATACTATTCATACTCTAAGGTGCACCCAGTACTGACGCAGGCTTTCAGTTATAAGTTATAAACAATTATAAGTATAACCATGATATAATGACAAGTGTCAACTAGCATAGACTGGCATTGAACTTTGGAGCAGTGGAGCTGTGTTCTCTGGAGTGATGGAGCTCCATCCAGTGCCTTTGGGATGAGTTGGAGTGTCCAGAACTGACCATCCAACATCAGTACCTGACCTCACTAATGCTCTTGTGACTGAATGCAGTCAAATCCTCACAGCAATGATCCAACATCTAGTGTAAAGCCTTCTCAGAAGAGTATTACTACAAAATGCAAGCATCTGGGAGTCTTAACAGCTCAGTAATACGAAGCAGAGTAGGGCCATCGAGTGCTGATGCTTGTAGCATGTAAAAATCATGTGTCCTCTGTTACATCACTCACTACAGAGTTACAAGCTGCCTCTGGAAGCGACATTAGCTGAAGAACTGTGCGCCGGGAGCTTCATGAAATGGGTTTCACAGCATCAGAAGCGCAGCACCCCTATGTATTTTAGTTGGGATGCTGTTGACTGTGTATGCATCTACCACTCTGTCCTAGTGTTGCCTAGTGTGTAGGCACCCTAGTATCACTATGCGCAATGCCAAATGTTGGCCAGAGCAGTGTAAAACATGCTGCCACTGGACTCTGGATTGATGAATCATGCTTCTATATCTGGCAGTATGATGAATGAATCTGGATCTAGTGAATGCCAGAAGAACGCTACCTGTTGCTACCGCATGTTTAGTGGCAACAGTAAAGTTTGGTGGAGGAGGGATAATGGGTCTGGGGCTGTTCTTCAGGGCCCTTATTTACAGTGAAGTGTAATAAAATTTTAGACAATTATATGCTTCCAACTTTGTGGCAGCAGTTTGGGGAAGACCCTTTCCTGTTCCAGCATGACTGAGCCCCAGTGCACAAAGTGAGCCCCATAAAGACATGGTTTGATGAGTTTGGTGTGGAGGAACTGCAATGGCATGCACAGAGCCCTGACCTCAACCCCACTGAACACCACTGAGATGAACTGGATTGTCGATTGTGAGCCAGGCCTTCTCGTCCAACATCAGCGCCTGACCTTCTATGTGATTGCCCTTGGTTTTGGAATGGGATATCCAACAAGCTCATGCAGTTCTGATAGTCAGATGTCCACATACTTCTGACCATATAGTGTAGACTTTATTTCTAGTAATGCTGGACCATGTTTATTGGTCCAGTCATCATAAAATATATTTACGCAATGAAACGTGTAAAAAAATTAAGAATTGATACAAAGAATAAGGTTTTGATGACAGTGCTAATATATATATAGATATAAAATATGTAATCCTGCAGAGGTTCATGTATGTCCTGTTCTAACACTCCTGCTTCTGCTTGTCTGATAATTAAAAGCCCTTCCTGACTCAAATCAGATGAAAAGAAGCTAACTAGTGCTGGGAAAAGGGACTAAGGCACTGTCGCAAAGAGCAGTGCAGGTTGGTGGGAGTGAGATTCTCAGCCTCTCCGTGTTTGTAAAGGTGCGATTTAAGAATAATGTGTACTTTGTAAGAACAGCACATGAAGAAGTGCTAACAGTACACTGTGTGCAATTCTGCCTCATTAAGTCTTCAGAGTCACAGTGGTTGAACAGCCACCAAAATACACAGTAACATTCTTATGATGAAAATTATTAACAATATAATATTATTTAAATTAACTAGTTCTATTCCAAATTTTTGAATTTCCTAATGCACATCTCACTCTAAAGAGTATTACAATCACCAAAGTGGTGAAACTGAACTCTTGTATTGGCTTTACATGCTGAAACGTTCTTTAGTTGCATGTTGTGAGTTGGCTGCAACATTATTTCCATGCAACTTGACAGTTACATAATGTAATTAAAAATAAAGTTACATGCACCATACCGCTGCTGTCGGAACCAAACCATCTCCATTTTTGTTGTTTTTCAGTTTTTGATGTAATTTGAAAATGCCTGCTGCCTTTTGCATGGTGTGTAAATTTCAGTGAATGGACCAAATGAAACGGCCCAAAATGACCTGGAAAAAAGTCTGGTTCCATTGACTTACATTAAAAGTAAAGTGTGTTTTTTGCTTCCCCTGTAAAGTTACCATATGGAGATATGAGGTTTTTTTCCGATAGCAGAGATACTCAGTTACTCCACTATATAGCCAAACTGACATTTGCTGCAATGGCTCATGAAACTGACTAAATGAAAAACTACCAACTTTTTCACTCTTTTTCAACCACCTGGTAAACAATATTTTGTTGATCCAGTGAAATCAATGGTTTGAACATACGTCATTCGATGTGATTATGTGATGCATAATTGGTGTTTTGATTGGCTGTTTCATGAAACTTGTTCCATGAAGTTTAGACACTTGCAACTGAGTTTCAAATGAGTTGCTTTACATTATGCAACTCAAGTGCAATTTAGGGTACCACTTTAAAATAAGACTAACCTTACAAAGGGATCATAAATAGTTAATGAATAAAATGAGTTTATTAAACCTGTCACATATTCATATTCATCAGATATAACGGCTCCCTTTTGCCCTGTTTACTAATATGTTATAACTGCTTATTAATGATGTTTAAAGTGTTATGACCTAACTAATAACCATTAATAACAGACTAATTTTAAGCCATTCATAAATACTTTATCAGAGTAGCCTTATTTTAAAGTGGTACTCAATTTAGTTACATGTACATTTCAATCAACTAAAGGTAAATTAAAGTTATTGAAAGTAAAGAGATAAATAAATATTGATCTCTTCTTAATTCTTATGAAGTCTGTAACAGCAATGTGATTGCAAGATTGTAAACTGTAATGTAAGACAGGCAATAGTAATCACATTACTGTTACACATTACTTCGTATCACATTACCCCAATACTGGCCATCACATAAGCAAGTCTGTTTGAGATTCCTTAACAACTTGACACAGTTTTAGGTAAGTGTGTGATGATTTAGCCCAGCAGTTAGCACAGTGCTAACTGGCATCATTGCTTGTTAGCTACATTAGCCTCATAGCTCTGATTAAAAACCAAAGTAACAAAGCAAACTTTGACCACCAAAGGTCTTGGCTAATTACCTACATTTGGAAGTCCAGTGAGAAGATCATTACAGTGATCAACTCTGCAGTAACACATGCATGAACAAGTTTCTCTGCATCACTCTGAGATAGAAAAGGCCGAACTTTAGCAACATTTCTCAAATGATAGAAAGCTACTTTAGTGACTGTGTTCACATGCAGATAAAACAGAGCTCAGAGTCTAAGATCACACCAAGGTTTCCTACTTCAGGTTTGAATTATTAAGCTAAAGAACTGAGTTTCCCATAAAGCAGCTTTCTCTGAGTTTTTTGCTGATCTATCAGATTGCGACACTAATCAGGAGGAATAAGGACTAAAGCTTTACAACAATGCCCAGTATGTTATCTCTGTGTGGACACTAGACAATAAGTGCTAGTTCAAACCCAGCAACCATTAACCATTCAGCTCAGGACTTACGCTTGAAGCCATTGATGGCTACTCTGTTCGGGTGGTAGAAGCCACTCTTGCACTGGCATTTGTATTTGCCCAGCACGAAGCCATGACCTGGGATGGGCAGGCACTGGGAGAGAAAGAGAAGAAAAGCATAAGGATAGAGCAGAACCAGGCATGTGAACTGATCACAGCAAAGAAAGCAGCATCGCAGAAGAAGTCTAAGATGTGTGATCTCAACCCCCACCAGCTGTGTCCTCAGGGACAGTGCTAACACCAAGTCTGAAAGAATGCAGGGTGGATATAGGCAGAGGAAGCTCAGATGGTGGAGAACTTCTCACCAATTAAAAGATCAAACAGTTTCACATAAATCTCTATAGCGCGTTTGAAACCACTGAGCAGCATGCAGAACCATGGTGAAAAGCCCCTGGTGAACTAAAGACACACTGAAGCTGTAGCATTTATAACCTAAATGCTTTCTTACATTCCGTATTCAATCATTTTTGGTCCACCAGATCTGTACTGTTAGAAATATTCTGTACATTAAGTTCACATACGCATACTCTGTGTCATCCTTTACGGCTGAGTCTTGGCATTTATTTATATTATTTGTTTACTGTTTGTATTTTGTACTCTTCAGTTGCGTACAGCCATGTGAAAAAGTCTTGGTGCCCCAAATGACATGTTGTGTTGACTTTTTAAGTGGAAATAAGTTCAGACATCCTCTACAGAGAACTGTGCAGAGGAACTTATAGCACATTTTATGTTTTATAGTGCATTAAAGTTAGCAAATAAATAGAAATTGTACACTAAATATTTGTAGAAAATGCCATGTTGAGGTTTGTTTCTTCCAGAACTCATTTTCACAATCAACAAAAGATGTAATTTGACCACAGGGGGTTCAAACTGTTGCATACAGCTGTATGCACCAATAGCACCGAGACAGTCTCTTTGTAGAGTCATGCACTTGGCTATTAATGTCACCTGTTCACCAAACAGCACAAGCTTGCCTCTTAGTGTTCTCACATAAAGCAAAGACATACAGGGTCAGCCAAAGCTTGTATACCTACTCAAGAAGCATTTTACCAGGGCTGTCGAACTATTTCAATCATCTTGATAAATTGTAAAAATCATCCAGTTTTGACCCTGAAAAAAAATTACCATTTAGAAAGCAATGCATTTTGTTATCACTGTATTAGTGGACAAGCTTCATCGTGTGAGCGCAGAGTTCACATTCACCCAAACATAAAACTCGTTATTTCGAACACAGATCGAACAATTTCCGATTTTCATCACTGACATTTAGTGAGAGCAACAGCGTCTGCATGTTCCAACCAATAGATGTGTATATCATGCATTTGTTTCTACGTGAGAGTAAGTTGATACATCCTCTACAGAGAACAGAAACAAGAAACTCTTCAATATTTATCCCTTTGAGAAATAGTAATATTAATAACAAGAACATCATCATCTCATCATCTAAACCGCTTATCCAAGAACAATAATAATATGTTTTACAGGGAGATTAGAATAAACAAAGGGGAGAATTTAGCACAATAGAAAGAAAAAATAAACTAACTGTTAAATATCTGGAGTGGCTTTGTATGAAATGCTCCATTTTAAACTTACAGAGTCAGAATTGATCACAGTGGTGGTGATGGGAACCAGACATCTGAAGAGTTTATTGCCTCTAAGACCTCCCTCACAGTTGCTACAAGAAGTGGTTTTGAATATGTTGCCTGATGTATGAGACATTGTTTTGAGTCAGTTTTGGCCTAAAGCATATTTTTTAAAACATTCATGATGGAGGGGTACAGGCAGGAAAAATAGTGCCCAAAGAAAGTTTTTTTTTTTTACCAAGTTTTTACCACACTGTAGAAAAGAAATTCAGGTTTTAACTTGAAAAAAGTTAAAAATTAGTTTCCTGTTTGCCTTAAAATTTAGAGTTCATCATTAGAATGTAAAGCACAGATTATTGTTGCATTAACTTACTACTAGAAGTTCAATGAATTCAAAATATGAAGACATCCAGGTTGCATATTTTCTCAAACATTATAGTTAAAACATAGAAACATTTTTTACCATCATCAACATTACATATAAAAACTCAGAAGACATGTAGGTTCACTGGTGATTTTGGATGGTAAATACAAGAGCCTGTAAGTTTCTCTACAGTGAACCATTTCACACCAAACCACTCTTAATGACTTTGTTTACATCTCATTTACATGTGATTTAATTGTGCATTAAAAAGTGGTGTAATTTAATTTTAAGCAAAGAAATGGTCAGCTGGCCTCTGTGTCTCCACACCCCAGCAGGCCCTGAAGATGTAGTGAAGGGCCAGAGACGTCTGAGAAGGGCAGTGTGCCTTAATGAGGGACCAAACTCTAGGATGCTTATAGAGAACCACCTTTTAAAAGCGGAAGAGGGGCCTATTTTCAGCTCTATTCACAGCCCTCCAGCTTCTCTGGGCTGATGGCTGGGCGTTCATGTGGAGCGCCAGACAGCCGCAGGAGGATAACCGTGCTTGTGGGGTTCTGGAGATAATAGTCTACTTACTATTCACACAGAGGATGGAGTTATGAGATGGAAACTATCAGCCCACTCAATGGGGCTCTTCTCAAGACTGAATTTAATAATGATTAAAAACTCTTTCAGTATATTCTTATTATATTAGGAGTGCAGATTGCAGTATAAATCACTTAAAACTCTACTGGACTTGCAGTGCAGCTAATGCAGTGAGACAGATGCTCTTGTTCAGAGGGGGTTAATCATTTGAGCATTTTTAGCAGCAGAAAGGAAGTAAAACACAAAATGATGTACGCTGTTTGAAAAATTAATAGTCCTAAAGAATTTGAACTTTTAAAAAGTCATAAACATCTGATCATTATTAGTTATAAGACTTATATACAGTAAGTACCTAATTAAAGGGGAACTTGTGGAACAGAATATGAGCCCTTTCTCTTTCTCGCTCTGCTGGGAGTGGACAGGGAAAGACAGAAATCTTGGCCACCTTTACACAAGGACACTTTCACAGCACAAACTATGCACTGTGTTTTTACTTGACAGTGTAAACTTAAAAGTGCATTCTATTTTACAGTGTAAACTCTTTGCTGTGTTCTTCTCTATAGTTTAAGCTTCGTACTATATTCCACTTTACAGTGTACATTACAGGGTAAATCCACTACTCTATTCTACGTTATAGTGTAAGCATTTTACTGTACAAAAGTCAGTACTGTATTTCACTTCTTAGCGTAAACCATGTAATGCATTTTACTTTACTGTATAAACTTTGCACTGTATTGCAGCGTATTCTTCTTTACAATACAAACTTTGTAATATATTCTATTTTGCAGCACAAATGTTATACTGTATGGAATGTAAACTCTGTACAATGTTCTACTTTTAGTGTAAAATTTGCACTGCATTCTACCTTACAGTGTAAACGTTGTTTCACATTCTATTTCACAGTGTAAAGAATTTCTGTACTGTATTTTACTTCACAGTATAAATACTGTACTGTATTCTACTTTACAGAGTAAACTTTATACTCTATACTTATTTACAGCTTAAATGTTGTGCTGTATTGTATTTTACTTTACGGTATAAACTCTGTATTGCATTCTACTTTACAGTGCAAACTTTGTATTTCATACTGCTTTACAGTGTAAAATTTGTCCCACATTCTACTTTACAGTGTAAACTTCATAATGTATACTTCTTTACATTCTTTACAGCTTAAACATTGTACTAGATTCCACTTTACAGCATAAATGTTGTGCTGCATGGAATTCTATTTACAGTGTCAATTCGATTCAGTTTTACTTTACAGTGCAAACTTTGTATTGTACTCTACTTTACGATGTAAACTCTGTATTGTATTCTACTTTACAATGCAAACTCTGTATTGAATTCTACTTTACAGTGTAAACTTCTACGGTGTAAACTTTGTCCCACATTTTACAGTGTAAACTTTGTCCCACATTCTACTTTAGAGGGTAAAATCCCTTTGGGATGAGTTGGAATAATGTTTGTGAGTCGGAACTGACCATCCAACATCAGTACCTGACCTCACTAATGCTCTTGTGGCTGAATGCAATCAAATCCACAGAGCCTTCTCAGTAGAGTAGAGGCTGTTACGGCAGCAAATGTGGAACACACTTCCCATTAATACCTTTGATTTCAGAATCACACAATGAGCAGGTGACTTTTGGACACATGATGTTGCAGTCAAGCTTTCCTCAGTTTTTTCCTCAAATACAGTTACAAAGCATTTGGAGCCTAAATGTTTGGATTTACAGTGTGGATGGAGATTTGGAGATGGATATGACTGATTGAAACTGATGGAAAAGGTGCTACAGTTTGCCAAAGCTGATCCTCTGATGGTAGTACTGCATCTTGCTTGAATCAGAGGAGAGTGAAGACGGCATAGACGTTTCCAACTGCCTCCAATTCCCCAGCTGATTTATTCTCTTACATCTGAAGGGATGCAGGATGGAGGCAGGGGCTCTAAGGCTTGCCACTTTTAATCTTTTCAGGTTCACCAGAAAGAGAGAAAAGGAGAGAGAGAGAAAGAGGTGTTTTGATCGAAGGAAAGTAAGACGAAAGGGATAAACAATAAGCCTGGCTGAGAAAACGGCTGCAGCTTCTCTTCACTGCTGCAACTGCATGTTCAGAGGTGGATAGCTATTGCAGTCTCAAAAATAAAGCTTCCCATATGGTTCCTGGTTCCCATGAGGTTCTAGGAAAATCCTTTAATTGGTAAGGAACTTTTACATCGGCTTACATGCAAAGATTTTTGTCAATCCAGTTGAACAGATTCTGATTATAGATTGAGACTGAGGTGTTTATATACTCACTCTACTCAACAATCGGAGGAAAAATCTTTGTTTACATGCTTCAGTAATCCAATACTGAAATTATGTGCATGCATAGACAACCACTTAGTGTAGATGTTACCATGACAACCAGCATCCAGTGAGTCCAGTCAGAGTGAGATGAGCAGCAGTGAGCAGTGCTTGTGTATCTAATTACTTTAAAATGATGTCAGACTCAGGAAAACGTCCTTCACATGTCCTTATTAAAGAAGGCCGAGAGGAAGACGTCGTGTTCTGAGACACATAAGCTGGA